ACATGCTCCAATAACTTGATGTATTTATGCTTATGTGCACTGAATAACTTGATATATTGATAATTACACACACTGAATAACTTCATATATTGATATTTACATGCACTGAATATCTTGGTATATTGATATTTACATGCACCGAATAATTTTATATTTTAATACTTACATGCTTTGCATAACTTGATATCTTAATACTTACATGCACCGAATAATGTGATATTTGACACTTACATGGACTAAATAATTTGATATATTGATACTAACTGATATGTATAACATGATGTATTGACACTTACATGCACTAAATAACGTGACCTCTGGATGCTTTCATGTACTGAATAAATTGATATATTGACACTTACATGCACTGAATAACTTGATATATTGAAACTGTCATGTACTGAATAACTTGATATATTGATACTTACATGCCTTGCATAACGTGATGTATTGATAACTTACATGCACTGAATAACTTGGTATGTTCACACTTACATGCACTGAATAAATTGATATCTTGATACTTACATGCACTGAATAAATTGATATCTTGATACTTACATGCACTGAATAAATTGATATCTTGATACTTACATGCACTGAATAAATTGATATCTTGATACTTACATGCACTGAATAAATTGATATCTTGATACTTACATGCACTTGGTGAGATTATAAGATACATGCCCTTCATTCTACTAATAACAATTGTACTTAAATAAAATTTATGTTGAAATTTTTTTAAATCCAACCATTAGATGCCTGAGAATAAATGGTCATAAACTAAGCCTATGATACTTATGGTTTCAAGTTGAAATTACTTTTGTGACTTGTGTTACTAGACATCTTGGTTTGTATGTCAATGAAACACATCAATTACTTTGTTTGACTGCGACTAGGATAACTTACAGAGATTTATCTGTAATTATAATATTTCCATACAAATGAAAAATTTCATATCTCACCAGGCATATGCAACCTGAGTATATATATAATCAACAAAATTATTTTCCGATTTAATAATCCTTCACAAGCTTATTCTGTTGATGCCATGTTTATAGTTAAGAAAAAATATCAGTTATCCTACATTACCAATACGATGTTCCATCTTTCAATGTTTAGAAACTTTGGACAAGATACATATCAGTGATAATTAATAGTCTAAAAGGAGATTCTCAAAAGAACTTATCTTTCAAGATTTATTCAATACACTTTAAGGAAAAGGTCTGAGTTGATTTTCTGTTAAAGAAAATTTTCTTGTAAAATAGTATCAGTTTTTTCTCTGTTACACGTTGTTTCAAGGTGCCGTATCTTCCCAACCAGGTTGTGCTGACGAAATCAAAATTAACCAGCCGTTTTTTCTCTTAACTATAAACTCACAACATATTGTACATTTCAAATTTTCAGCACCATTTTTTTCAATAATACTTTTTAGTTGTAAAAATTTGGAGGCCTGTGTTATCAACCAGTCAAAAGCTGTGAATGAAAATATTATACGGATAATTTATTTTCGCCTCGCAACTTCATTTGCGAACATAAAGACCTTTACGTTTTATTTGAATTTAGTTAACATATACAAATAAGTTTCATCAGGTTTATTATGCTAAGCTTATGTCTAACTTTTTATTATACATATATATATTTTTCAGTGTATTTTGTCAATGAGTGCATTCCTACTTTTAATTACAGTATACAAGAGTACAATAGTTTTCAAAAATGTTTTGTATTGAATTAACATAATACTTCATGGCCGAATGTATACGAAACTGTTAACATTTCCAACCAGAAGTATTTTGTTACAATGTACGTGTAGCGTGTTTGATGTTTGCTTTTGATAGCTGACAATTCGCTACTCGCAATAGCTGTTTAACTATATATGTATACATAATTACAATATCTAATAACGTTTCTGAAATTTCAAAGATTTGTGAATTTTTTCTTTGAAGGGTCTTTATTTTGTGCTTCCTTCAGTACCCATAAACCTGCATTAAGGATGTCACCTCTCGAGTCTTGAAGGGGTTTGATGACTTGCTTGATTTTCTTTTCTTGAGCTCTATTGGTGACTGTAGGTGCTTTATCAGTCTTGTTTCTGTCAGGATCCTCCAAACTTCTACTGTCTGGCCTTAAGGTCTCCCATGTAGTATGGAGTGCCCACCTTTATTCTTGCTATTGGAAATTTTCTCACTTTTCCATCAATCAGCACACACAGATGTACCTTGCCTGTCATCTGGTCATCAGATACTATACTGGTTCTCACTGCTGCACTACTGCACCCAGTGTCTCGTAGTACCTTCACTTTCTTGTCCCTGACCTAGAATTCACGTGCTGGTAAGTTGTGGTTTGTTTACACTTCTCGATGTTTGTCACATGCTACAATCACCACTGGCACTGTTTACCCACTCGCTAACTTGAGCTGACAATCAGTCGTGCACTGTTTAATCATGAAGATAGCACTTCCTTCTTGTGGTGAACTTGACATGTTGTTTCTATTCTGTTTCTTCTGCAACAGCATCTATGGTGATAGTCACTCTTTTCTTGTTTCGTGCCAGCACCGTCTTTGTAGGTAGCTTCAGCTGCTTTATGTTGAGATTTCTGCTGTTGTACTCATTCGCAATGTGACCCATTTTGTAATAAATATAGCATCTCTTCTCCCTTTTTGTCCGTTGAGTTCTTGTCATCTTTGGTGGTACTCTGTTTCAGGTCAGCCACCCCTGGTTTCAGCTTTAACTGTTTATTCTCAGATTTGCCATTATAATTCTTCCATGGGCTTCTATATACTGTCCTGCTAACTTGATCATCTCGTCCACGTCTTTTGGTGCTCTCTCCTTTAGGAACAGTGACATGTAAGTGGAGCACGTGATTATGAACTGTTCACGTATGAGTAGATCTTTCAGTCCTTCAAAAAAGTTTTCACATTTGGCCATTTCAGTACACATTGGGAAGTATCGCCGTAGATATGCCACAAACTGAAATACAGGTTCTCCAGCGTCAGGTTTGATTTCTTTGAAGTTCTGACAAAAATCTTCCTTGGAAAGTTCATGACGTTTCCACAAGGTCACTTTTAACTTGTCATAGTCCATGGCATCTTCTGATATCATGCCTGCATACATTTTTAGGCCTTTTTCTGTGAGAAGTGGGCTGAGACAGATTGATTAATCACCTTTGTTCCAGTTCTGACTTGAGTGAATATTTTATATCTCTCCAAGAAAGCATCCATGTCGTCTTTCTGTTCATGCAGGCTAAATCCAGGTTCAGGGATAGCCAACTCTAATTTAGAGCTTGAAAAGGAGGAAGGCAACCAATAAGCAGCATCCAATACCTACGCGAGAACTTTTAACTGGATAGCGTAAATGACTGTTACTTTTATAATGCATATACGTTTATGATCATTTGTATAGTTGCTCTTTTGGTTATAGGTACTCTGTCAGAATGTTGCCTGCTTTTGGATTGCAGAGAATATGGCCAGAAGGATTGGCTGTTTGTGCTATTCAAACATTGGAAATCAGACAAAGACAGAGACAAATGGCAGCTCATTTTGATATATCCAGGTCCATACTAGAAATATTTATGGGCACACGCTATCAGGTGGCTATATTGTACACTAGATAGTTAAATAAAATCGTGAAAAGTTAATTATGCCACCTAATGACATAGCATGGCTGTTAGAAATTACAGTCTACCGCCGATGGATCAACACATACTTCAGGACAGCATATGGAGTTATTATCACGGGCCAAATAGTGAAAACATGAAACGAATCGAGTTTATGACTTAGAAGACACAATAAGATCACAATAAATTGCACTTATTCCGTTGGTTGCCGATACACTTCACAGGTGAGACAAAGTTTTATGTTTCGACTAATAAATGATCCTTTCCAGAGGGTCAGAAGTGAATCACGTGCTCAGTGCAACATCGTCATTGTGGAAACTGATTGAATTACATTAGTTAGAAGAACTTTTCCTTCCATATAAAGCTAAGACAATCAGTGTGTATAGCGGCAAGCCTGTTGCTTATTATAAATCAGGAAAATAAGGTTATACTAAAAATATATAGAATAATATTTTCACTCACGCTTGTAATTAATTTTACTTTTAGAGTTACGTCTTTAAAACAATAACAAAAGATAGTTTGTCGACATTGGCAGTACGAGAGGTTTTCAGATAAAGTTAGAACACTATACTTAAGTGGATTTTTGGTATTTCGTTTATGTTTAGTTAATGTAAATAATGAAAATATTCGTTATATGTAATCTCTAAAAACCAACATGTAATGCACAAAATTATATTTATTTTAGAAATTTCGCGCAAAATTATACATATATGTAAAAGCATGCATAAAAATTATTAGTTTATATTTGAATACATAATATTATAAGATCATGCTCTCTATATTGTTTATATTTCGTTATTTATAGTTTTCATAAAGAAGTCAAAGAAACGCAAATGAAAGATTTATTTTGAAAAATGCAGGCTTCAGTATTCGATGCGCTATATGCTGTGACGTTAGTAAAGGATATACATATATAATCCTCTTTATATATAATCTTATTTTACTAGCAATTAGAATTTGTAAGGCTTCATATTTAAAGCGTAGTGTTTCGGAGTCTAGTAGTTCATTTTTATATTAGAAGGATAAACAGTGTGTCCCGCTTGAAACATTAATGAATACTTTTGTGACCAACAAAACATTCAGTTTAGTAAGTAGTAAGACCCTTTCATCCCAACCAGAGACAGAGTGTACCATATCAGGTTTATCATTTAAGCGGGTGTGGATTGACTAAAGTAATCTTGCCCTTGTGTAGTTCTGCATTTCACCGTCCTTTCCTTCCCCCAACCAGTCTGGTGGAATGATCCACTATTTGCCTGCAGCAACAGAAACAAACTTGCATGGGCTTCCTTATATAATGATTGTACACAAGGTAGAGTGGTTTCCGAAACAGGTGTACAAGGCACCGGAACTGGGACCGACTATGGTAGCTAAGCCTATCAACCACGACGTAGCCTCTTCCTGTGTGTTTGTTTGCATTCAACTAGCCACAAAGTTAAGTTTTTACTACAACCTATACTGCTAGTACTAGTAGTAGGGCTGATTAGTTAGGGACGAGGTATACTTGCTTTTGGATTGCATAATCCAGTCTGACAAGTCTCGTTGATAATAATACTGGAATTGTTATCAATCGCCCTACCAGTTTCGGTAAGAGATGTTTGTTTTGATTTTAATTTTTAAGGGCCTCTTACATAAACAAACATATATTAAAAGTCAGGAACTTTGAAGTATCCTGCAATGAAAACGTTAAAATCAATCTGAATTATAAAAGTGACTTAACAATAAAAATAAGTTTGCTTTGTGACCCTCTGAAGAATTTGTTATTTAAAAATTGTCCGTATTTCTCTTATTTTATTTCCTGAATATTTTGAGTTTTATCAAAGCCTTATTATAACCTTATAAGGGTATACACAGATCACGCAGATATCAGATATAAAGAACTCAAAAGTAAAATGCATATTATCAGAACATAGTTAATATAACATACTTTTCCAATGATTTAAGTGTGTGAGTTTATCGTTTGAATTATGTAAAACTTTGATAATATCTTTAGTTACAGCAACGGCTTTTAATTTTCCATAAACCGTCAACAGGGCGTTTCGATATACTAAGCTAAAGAACAAATTAATGAAGTTGTAAGCAGATATTTTTTCAGTATTTTATTTTTTAACTTTTAAACAAAATGAAATGTTACAATGCTTATACCTATTGCTTGATGTTAAAATAAAACGGATTACGAGTTACTTGAAGGATGGTTCTAAAAGTGACAGCGTAAGCAATTGTTTCACATATTTTTAATCCTGATGATGGCTATATCAAGTAACTTGTAAAAAGGGTCTATCTCTTATATAGATGGTGTCATTATTACAGTTCAAAAGCATCTTATAAAGCCTAGTTTTTGCCATTATTCGGTACTATAATGGTTTATAAAAAGAAGATGTAATCTAGTCTTTTGTGGTTGGTGCCTAGTACAGACAGTAGTATAGTGGATAAACAAACCCTTACGTTGTTGCTGGTTGAGGTTCAGTCCGAATTGGAGAATCGTGAATATACTAACCCTTATGTTATTTGTGACTGAGGTCCAATCCAGACAATAACATGGTGAGTAAACTAATTCTTATTATGTTGGCGATTGAGAGCCAATGGACCATAGCATAACAGGTAAACTAACCCTTAGGTTGTTCGTGGTTGAAGTCCAGACAGTGGTATGGTGGATAAACTAACCCTTATGTTGTTGGTGGAAGAGGTCCATTATGGACAGTAACATGGTAGGTAAACTACCCCTTATATTTTTGGTGGTTGAGGTCCAAGCCGGACAGTAGTATGGTAGGTAAACTGACTTTTATGTTGTTGGGGGTTGAGTTCCAGTCCGGAGAATAGCATGTTGAGTAAACTAACCCTTATATTGTTAGTGATTGAGGTCCAGTCCAGGCAGTAGCATTGAAACAACAATAAGGGTTAAATGAAAAATGAGTAAATGCCATATTCCCCAAACGAGCATAGATGACGGACAGTTTTGTTTTACTGCACTGCCACTGTTTTAACTTCATGCTATTTCTTGCTAAACCAAATATATTAAGCATTAAACAATGATTACATTTCTGCAAAATTTCTGAATAAACAGATTTATTAGCTTATTAGGTTTTTTCTTCATCTGTTTATGCATATAAAATCCATTCATTATTCGTACGAATGTGACAAAAGTGATTTCTATAACAATTGGTAGTTTCTTGTTGTTTGGGTGTTCACAAACAGAATAAAAGATACCTTCTTAATTCTATAAATTAGTATGTTGGATGATGAAAACTGAGATAAAAATAAACTGTCAGAAAAGAGAAACATCGAGAAGTATTAGATAAAGGTTAACTTACCAGTTTCGGGCCCGGCATGGCCAGGTGGTTAGGGCGCTCGACTCGCAATCTGGGGGTCGCGGGTTCGAATCCCCGTCACACCAAACATGCTCGCCCTTTCAGCCGTTGGGGCGTTATATAATGACGGTCAATCCCACTATTCGTTCGTAAAAGAGTAGCCCAAGAGTTGGCGGTGGGTGGTGATGACTAGCTGTCTTCCCTCTAGTCTTACACTGCTAAATTAGGGACGGCTAGCGCATATAGCTCTCGTGTAGCTTTGCGCGAAATTCAAAACAAACCAAACAAACCTACCAGTTTATTGGTAAATCAAAAACAGGGAGGAGAATATCAACTAAAACGTAATTTTTCAAATATACTAAAATTATAGAAACATTTAATGAGAGAAGCTGGTATTTACCAACGTGCTTTAAAAATCTTTTAACAGAATAAAAGTAAATATGGTTAGGTTATAGAAACATGTAATATGTAATGAGAGAAACTGGTATTTACTAACGTGCTTTAAAAATCCTCTTATAGAATAAAAGCTAATTTAAAGTTTACTTAAAGGTTTTAAATTATCATCTGGTACAGAAGTTTTGCATATCGAATTCCAAATTCTAGGCCCTTATTGTATAACAACCCCATGATAACTATTCACAGTACCTTTTCGTAACACAGTAAAAAACAACAGTATTATCACTACTGTCAGTAGTACCTCGAACACAAGAAAAACAATTCTATGATTAATAGTCACACTCGTAGCACTTCATAGCTTATTAACAGCGTTCCCATTTTAATAGAACTTCGTAAAAGCGTTGAGGTTGTTTGAGTTGACAGAATTTTGTATAGCAATCTGATATTATGCACTTCCAATTTCTAGTTTGCGAACATTATTTCTCAAATCCAAACAAAAAAAAACCTATTAAAAAGCAAGGAACCATCACAAATAAATAAATGTAAGGATTAGGGAATTTGTAAATATATTTGTTATCTATGGCAAAACTAGTAAGGCTATCTGCCACTGTCCCTAATTTTTCGCTACTGACCAGAGAGAAAGTAGCCAGCCAGCAGCACCCTACTACCACCATCCATTCTAAGGGATTGATTGTTTCTCTTAACACTCACCCACAACTTAAAGTGGGGGGAATATTTTTTAGTAATGTTGAGATTAGAACCCGGCTCTCCAACTCCAAAACCTATTAGGCCAATTCTCGCCCTAAAAAGAATTGTGGAAAATTTCTCTGATAATGAACCAGCAATAAGGCACTATTTGGGTATAATTTATAGAGAATTGGTTAGTTAACTATTCTGACTACAGAAAGATATTGCAAACTTATTTCTTTCTTTTCAACACACGGTAACATATCCTACTTTACAGCTGGAATGATACATTGTCTACACTGCAAAATATGTTACATTACAGATTGTTGTTACAAAGAGAAGGCGCGTTTTTTTTTTATTAATTTAAGTAATGCTTGTAAGTGTTTTGCTAACTGTCACATGTTTTCAAAAAACATTTCATCATCGACTGATTCGTTTAGAGCAGGGGTTTTCAAACTCTAGAGCGTGCCATGGTGGGAGGCACCAGCTGCGTGCAGTTATTTTTTAAAGATAGGTTTGGAGATTTGAAAGAAAAAAACTTGTTAGGAAAATAAACAAATAAAAAGAGTAAAAATACAACTAAAACATCAAACATGTAACATATACTTTACCACTTAAAGAGGCCTAGTCTTGTTTTATCGATATGCTCTTGTCCAGGGCTACTAATAAAGGAATGGAACTTCCAGAAGATGGTATATCTCAGTGACAAGGGGCGAATCAGGTGATATATTGGACTTCATATATATTTATGGTTGCCTTAAACAGCGGACTCGGCATGGCCAGGTGGTTAGGGTGCTCGACTCGCAATCTGAGGTTCGCGGGTTTGAATCCTCGTACCACCAAAACATGCTCGCCATTTCAGCCATGGGGGCGTTATAAGTGAAGGTCAATCCCACTATTCATTAGTAAAAGAGTAGCCAAAGAGTTGGCGGTGGGTGGTGATGACTAGCTGCCTTCCCTCTAGTCTTTCACTGCTAAACTAGGGACGGCTAGTGCAGACAGTCCTCGTGTAGCTTTGCGCGAAATTCAAAACAAACCAAACTTAAACAGCGTGTTTGCTTAATAATTAAAAATGTTAAATATTTTTCAAATCCTATATAAATATAGGTTCACTGTGGTGACTAAAATAAAATTAAAAACACCATACATGTATCAGTTCCAAATTACGGACGGCTAACGCAAATAGTTTTCTATAGGTTTGTGCGGATATCCGAAAACAAGTATTATGCGCAGATATCACTTTTTGTAGCTTTGTACGAAACCTCTAAAATAAATGAAACAAATTATTTCAGTGGTCGAGAAATTTCTATGACATGCATATGTTTACTTCTCTGTTTTATAGTTAGTATCGTCAGTGATGTTTGTGCATAAGGAAAATAGTTACTGCTTTGCTTTTCAAGGTTTTGTTTTGTTTTAATAGCTATCACCAGCATTGTTTATTTGGGAAGGGGGGGGGGGGGGTTAAGCGGATAATGGTTGACTAGAACATTATAACGTGTTTCCAGCATTGTTTATGTTTGAGGAGTATGTGGATAATAGCTTATTTGAACATTATAATGTATTTCGTGTGCATGATCACTTGAAGGGACCGTGATTTAAAATATGAATTTCGTAATTTTCTATTCAAGGATATAACAGAAACAAAAACGTTGTATTATATATAATAATTGAAAATGGTATAATAAGATATTAGTATGACACATTATCATAAAGGTTTTTATAACTTTCTACAAAATCTATATCTAATTAAAGTTTTCTTGTCTGTATGTGTGTGTTGGGGGAATTCTTCCATTTTATAGCTTCATATTTAAATGTTTTTTTCTTTCATGAAATAACACTAAGTTTGGCAATTAATTTAATCTATTATATTGTACTGGTATCTAATGACTACAATATAATCTTCTCGGGGTGAAAAGTTACCGATTCTCAGTCGATATTACTTAATACACGTCACTTCAGTCTACTTTACAGAGGCGAGTTCTGTGTGTAACAAGGTTTTTTGGAGTGTAATGTGTTTGCATTGGACATGTCAGCTGATGTAAAGCCCTTGAAAAAAGTTGCATCAGTTTGAGCAGAAGCTTTGGTCGCTTCACTTCATTGAATCTTCACCCCAGAAGCTCAAGACATCTGAGATTCGAATTCTTGCTTTCACGACTGTAAAATTCAGCAGCGCAGATCTGTTAAAACCCTGAGTGA